CACCGGGGATTTCGACTTGACGAGGACCACGAGCAGGACCAAGGAGATTGCTCCCATGCTAAGCTTGACACAACACTCGAGGTTGAAGTGGAGCTTGGAGAAGGCATAGATGGAGAAGTAGCCAACATGATGCCGACATTGATGAGCACCTGAACCATCAAAACGATGTATAAAACGACAATCGCCTTTCTAATTTTCATTTTTCCCTAAACAAAAACAATGCAAGTTCACCACGAAGAAGACAAAAGTTGATGACAAATAAACAAATGAAAAAGATGCTACAAAATTAAAGGGGACAAAAAGAAAAGAAAATGAGTTAGTACCCAGGGAAAGAGGTAAAGAAGCCATGGGAGAAGGCAAAGGAGCACTCAATGATGTAGATGGGGGCGATCATGAAGGTGTAATCAACATTGATTTTAGAGACGGCGAGACTTGACACGAGGAAGGTGTAGTCACGGGCAAAACCCACGTTGGACGATTGTGATTGGATTCCTTGGGAGCAGGTAGCAAAGCTTAGAGTTTCGTTTAAGTGGAAATAGACTTCTTCATGCACATATCGAAAACGTCTTGTCTGCATAGGAGGAGATTTCGGGATTTTAATCAAAACTTGTGCCTTCTCCAATATATAGTCTATTGGCCATGCATCAGTGAGGAGATGCCATGTAGATAGAGCAAAAGCACTAAGGATGCTGGATTTTTGGGGTTAAAAACCATGCTCGTTCTTCACACCTTACGGTCTACAGCTTTAAGTACTTTAGAAAATGATTCCACATTTCCTGTTACCCTTCTTATTCGTCAAACATTAGAATGGACTATCCTTATTTGTTGGCCTTGCCTAATTTATGGCCCTTCAACATCCTTTTTTATTTGTCGATCTCTCCTTATGTGTGGACCATTGGGGAGGGACCCTTCGTCTTTGGTGGCCATTGGGATCGAGAAACCATCCTTATTTGTCAGCCACAGGGCATCTCTTATAAAAGGGGTAAGCACCAGTTGACGTAAAACAATCAATCACCCTAATTCAACTTGGAAAACTAGCTTGCTAAAAAGAAAGGCCTCGGAATACGGAATGGAACAATTGAGTGGCCCATTAAACGTCATGGAGTACATGGAGGACCACGATTTAGAGAATGGTGTCGATGCCACATGCCTGATGCAAGAAGTGGATCCCAACGATCCAATTGAGATTGTGGAGGACGGACGAATCAGTTGGAGAAGGAGATCCCGCCACATGTCTTCTCGCCGCATGCCTTCTCCGATGCTCTGCTTGGTGATCTTGACAACATCCTCGTTGCACTCCTTTGGGATGTTGGCAGCCTTATTGATAATGGCGAGCTACAGTGCTGCCTCTTTCTTGGAATCGGAGGTCCTGGCGAGGAAGTGATTCGCGTTGCCTAGGTAGCCTTGCATGATGAGCCACCGGGGATTCTGACTTGACGAGGATCCCGATGACGACCAGGACCGAGGAGATTGCTACCATGCTGAGCTTGACACGCCACTCGAGGTTGAAATGGAGCTTTGAGAAGGCGTAGATGGATATGTAGCCAACATGGTGCCGACATTGATGAACACCTAAACCACCGAAACGATGTATAAAAAAGCAATCACCTTTCTAATTTTCATTTTTCCTGAAACAAAAACAATGCAAGTTCAACGTGAAGAAGAAAAAAGTTGATTGCAAATAAAAAATGAAAAAGATGCTACAAAATTAAAGGGGAAAATATAAAAGAAAAAGAGTTAGTACCTCAAGGGAGGAGGTAAAGAAGCCACGGGAGAAGGCAGAGGAGACCTCAATTATGTAGACGGGGGCGATCATGAAGGTGTAGTCAACGTCAATTTTAGCGACGGCGAGGTCCAACACAAGGAAGGTGTAGTCAGGGGCGAAACCTACGTTGGACGATTGTGATTGGATTACTTAGGAGCATGCAGCAAAGCTCGAAGTTTCGTTTACGTGAAAATAGACTTCTTCATGCACATATCGAAAATGCCTTATCTGCATGGGAGGTGATTTCAGGATTTTAATCAAAACTTGTGCCTCCTCCAATGTAGCGTCTATTGACCATGTACCAATGAGGAGACACCATGTAGATAGAGCGAAAGCACTAAGGATGCTAGATTTTTGGAGTTAAAGACCACGCTCATTCTTCACCCCTTACGATCTACAGCTTTAAGTACTTTAGAAAATGATTCCGCATTTCCCGTTACCCTTCTTATTCGTTGAGCATTAGAATGGACTATCCTTATTTGTCGGCCCTGCCTAATTTATGGCTCTTCGATATCCTTCCTTATTTGTGGACCATTGGAGAGGGACCCTCCGTCTTTGTCGGCCATTGGGAGTGAGAAACCATCCTTATTTGTCGGCCACTGGGCATCTCTTATAAAAGGGGTAAGCACCGGTTGATGCAAAACAATCAATCACCCCTAATTCAACTTGGAAAAGTTGCTTGCTAAAAATAAAAGGCCTTTAAATACGGAATGGAACAACTGAGTGGCTCATTAAACGTCATGGAATATATGGAGGACCATGATTTAGAGGATGGTGTCGATGCCACATGCTTGATGGAAGAAGTGGATCCCAACAATCCAATTGAGCATGTGGCGGACTGACGAATCAGTTGGAGAATGAGATCTCGGCACACGTCCTCTCGCCACATGCCCTCTTCGACGCTCTGCTTGGTGATCTTGACAACATCCTCGTTGCACTCCTTTGGGATGTCAGAAGCCTCATTGATATTGGCGAGCCGGAGTGCGGCCTCCTCCTTGGAATCGGAGGTCTTGGCGAGGAAGTGATTTGCGTCGCCTAGGTAGCCTTGCATGATGAGCCACCAGGGATTCTGACTTGACGAGGATCCCGATGACGACCAGGACCGAGGAGATTGTTCCCATGCTGAGCTTGACACGCCACCCGAGGTTGAAATGGAGTTTTGAGAAGGCGTAGATGGATATGTAGCCAACATTGATGAACACCTGAACCACCAAAGCGATGTATAAAAAAGCAATTGCCTTTCTAATTTTCATTTTTCCTGAAACAAGAACAATGCAAGTTCAACATGAAGAAGACAAAAGTTGATTACAAATAAAAAAAATGAAAAAGATGCTACAAAATTAAAAGGGAAAAATAGAAAAGAAAATGAGGTAGTATCTCAAGAAAGGAGGTAAAGAAGCCACAGGAGAAGGCAGAGGAGACCTCAATTATGTAGATGAGGGCAATCCTAAAGGTGTAGTCAACGTCAATTTTAGCAACGGCGAGGCCCAACACAAGGAAGGTGTAGTCATGGGCAAAACCTACGGTGGACGATTGTGATTGGATCACCTAGGAGCAGGCAACAAAGCTCGGAGTTTCGTTTACGTGGAAACAGACTTCTTCATGCACATATCGAAAATGTCTCGTCTGCATGGGAGGAGATTTCAGGATTTTAATCAAAACTTGTGCCTCCTCCAATGTAGCATCTATTGACCGTGTACCAATGAGGAGACACCATGTAGGTAGAGTGAAAACACTAAGGATGCTAGATTTTTGGAGTTAAAGACCACGCTCGTTCTTCACCCCTTACGATCTACAGCTTTAAGTACTTTAGAAAATGATTCCACATTTGTTGTTACCGTTCTTATTCGTCGAGCAATAGAATGGACTATCCTTATTTGTCGGCCCTGCCTAATTTATGGCCCTTCGACATCCTTCCTTATTTGTCGACCTCTCCTTATTTGTGGACCATTAGAGAGGGACCCTCCATCTTTGTCGGCCATTGGGATCGAGAAACCATCCTTATTTGTCAGCCACTGGGCATCTCTTATAAAAGGGGTAAGCACCGGTTGATGCAAAACAATCAATCACCCCTAATTCAACTTGGAAAAGTTGCTTGCTAAAAATAAAAGGCCTTAGAATACGGAATGGAACAACTGAGTGGCTCATTAAACGTCATGGAGTACATGGAGGACCACGATTTTGAGGATGGTGTCAATGCCACAGGCCTATTGGAAGAAGTGGATCCCAACAATGCAGATCAGCATGTGGCAGACGAACAAGTTAGTTAGAGAAGGAGATCCCGCCACATGTCCTCTTGCCACATGCCCTCTCTGACACTCTGCTTGGTGATTTTAACAACATCCTTGTTGCACTCCTTAGGGATGTCGGCAGCCTTATTGATGTTGGCGAGCCGGAGTGCGGCTCCTTCTTGGAGTCGGAGATCCCGGTGAGGAAGTGCTTCGCGTCACCTGGGCAACCTTGCATGATGAGCCACCTGGGATTCCGACTTGACAAGGACCCCCCAATGACAAACAGGACCAAGAAGATTGCTCCCTTGCTGAGCTTGACACATCACCCTAGGTTGAAGTGTAGCTTGGAGAAGGCGTAGATGGAGATATAGCCAACGTGGTGCCAACATTGATGAACACCTGAACCACCGAAACGATGTATAAAAAAGCAATTGCCATTCTAATTTTCATTTTTCCCGAAACAAGAACAATGCAAATTCAACATGAAGAAGACAAAAGTTGATGACCAATAAAAAATGAAAAAGATGTTACAAAATTAAGGGGAAAAAAAAGAAAAGAAAATGAGTTGGTACCTTAGGGAAGAATATAAAGAAGCCACGGGAGAAGGCAGAGGAGACCTCAATGATGAGCCACTAGGGATTCCGACTTGACAAGGAATCCGATGAAGAGCAAGACCAAGGAGATTGCTCCCATGCTAAGCTTGACACGCCACCCGAGGTTGAAATGGAGCTTTGAGAAAGCTTAGATGGAGATGCAGCCAATGAAGGTGCCGACATTGATGAATGCCTGAACAACCGAAACGATGTATAAAAAAGCAATCGCCTTTCTAATTTTCATTTTTCCCGAAACAAGAACAATGAAAGTTTAACATGAAGAAGACAAAAGTTGATGACAAATAAAAAAATGAAGCAAATGCTACAAAATTAGGAAAAAAAAAAGAGAAGAAAATGAGTTAGTACTTGAGGGATGGAGGTAAAGAAGCCGCAAGAGAAGGCAGAGGAGACCTCTGCGATGTAAATAGGGGCGATCATGAGGGTGTAGTCAACGTCGATGTTAGCAACGGCAGGGCCCAATACAAGGAAGGTGTAGTCATGGGCGAAGCCCATGAGGATGGGCGGGAAGAAGAAAATGGCCCTTGCCAACAGGATCGTGGCCCTTGCCAATAGGATCGTGTAACGGCGGCCAATCCTGTCATAGATTCGACCCGCAATTGCCGACTCGAGGGGCGAGAACACGTTGAGGATCCCTGTAAAGACGTCAGCCTACACGTCGGTTATCTTCAACTCCCTCTTTACGTATAGCATGCCCCGCTCATCACTCCTTTCTCTGCCAACATTCAAAAAAAAAATTCCTATATATCATCAAAATATTACCACGTAAACAATAACCATATACAAAATATTGAAAAAATAAAAGAAAATATTATGTGTTTTATCTTCATCCTTCTTTCTTTGTATTTATTTTCCAAATATATATATGATGATAAGAATGGTGAGAAATAATAAGTGCGATGGACTTTATCTAAATTAATTTTGTTGGCTAAAAACAAAGTCGAGGATAATTTTGAAATGAAGTAATTTTTTTTCTTTTTTTTCTTTTTGCTTTTTTTTTCATTTTATATGCATTAAAAAATTACCTTTGATAATAAATGTATCATTTTTCAGTAATAAAGCTAGAAAGAAAAAAGTACTATGACTAAGATATAATTTTATTTTATATTTTTGCAACATAATTAAGTTGCAAGAGATTGATTCACTGTATAAAAAATTGACTCGCAAAGATATATTTCCAAACTTCATGGACGATCATGGGTTGAGTCTTCCCATGCTTCACAACATTGGAGAGAGAAGGGGGGACTAACCAAAATCGAGTAAAATGGGGATCATGTAGGCCGCTATAGCACATTTGAAGGAATACTTGTTCGGGTGTGGCTTCGCAAGAGGATTGAAGTCCTCGGTTGACTTCGGTTGGATGTTGCCGTCGACCTTAGAATCACTGCATGTCTATTATAATACGTACAAAGTAAGTCAATTGGCACTCAATCTGTAGTGTATAGCCGCAAGAGAAACGTGTGTTAAATTTAAAAATCTGGTTATAAAAGAGTAAGAGAAAAGCAAACTTACATCCACCAATTTTCGGGAGCTTCTTAAATCTCATCATTGGTTTTGCTTTCAATTAATATGAGTGGTTGGTCCGGCGCTTCTAGATACTCAAGATTTTCCTCCCTTTCCCTCATATTTAATAGCCAAATGACTTCCTCGTCCTCCATGTGATCTATAACGTTTAACGAGCCACTCGGTTGTTCCATTCCAAATTCCAAAACTTTTTTTAGCAAGCTACTTTTCCAAGTTGAATCATGGGGTGATTAATTGTTTTGCATCAACTGATGCTCACCCCTTTTATAAGAGATGCCCAATGACTGATAAATGAGGAGGGTCTCTCCCCAATGTTCCAAAAATAAGGAGCAGTCGACATATAAGGAGGGATGCCCAATGGCCACAAATAAGAAGAAGCTGACAAATAAGGAGAGTCTATCCCAATAGCCAATGAATAAGGAGGGCAACAGGGGACATGGAATCAATTTCTAGAGTACTTAAAGCTGTAGACCGCAACGGGTGATGAACAAGCATGATCTTCAGCCCCACAAATCCAGCATCCTTAGTGATTTTGCCCTATCCACATGGCGTCTCGTCATCGGTGCGTGCTCAATAGACGCTATACGGGAGGAGGCGCAAGTTTTGATTAAAATTCCAAAATCTCCTCCCATGCAGACAAGACGTTTTCAATAGGTGAATGGAGAAGTTTCTTTCCAGGTAAACGAAACTCCGAGCTTCTCTGCCTGTTCCCAATGAATCGAATCAGAACCGTCTGACATGTGCCCATATTGCACATTAACCCCTAAGCAAAGACCATTGATATTTTGTGGACAAAACATGCAGTAGCACGCAGTGCCTGTTTGCCACATTAACCCCTAACTTACAATTCATAAAGACCGTTGATACATTGTTGGCAGCACGTTAAAATTGCAGTAAAAAAGACCCATTAAAATTGTTGTATCGCACATTAACCCTTACTTACAACTCATAAACACCGTTGATACAAGTCGCAATCATGCATAGAAGAAATCATATCTATTGCAATTTGCATGCCCATATCGGAAACGCCTTGTCTGCATGGGAGGAGATTTAGGGATTTTAATCAAAATTTGCACCTCCTCCAATGTAGCGTCGGTTGAGCATGCACTAGTGAAGAGACACCATGTGGATAGGATGAAAGCACTAAGTATGTTGGATTTGTGGGTTGAAGACCATCCTCGATCTTCACCCGTTACGGATTATGGCGTTAAGTACCCTAGAAAAATAATTCCATAGTACCTGTTGCCCACCTTATTCATTGGCTATTGAGAGAGACTCTCCTTAATTTTCGGCCCCTCCTTATTTGTGGCCATTGGGCATCCCTTCTTATTTATCGACCTCTCATTATTTGTGGATCACTGGGAAGAGACCCTCCTTATTTGTCGGCCATTGGGCATCCCTCCTGACCTATCGACCCCTCTTTGTTTGTTGGCCACTGGGTTTGAGAAACCCTTCTCATTTATCGGCCACTGGGCATCCCTTGTAAAAGGGGTGAGCATCGTTTGATGCAAAACAATCGATCACCCTTGATTCAACTTGGAAAAGTAACTTACTAGAAAACAAGTCTCGGAATTTGGAATTGAATAACTGAGTGGCTTATTAAACGTCAAGGAGTACTAAAAGAAAAACAGCTTGCTAAAAAACGAGGATGTCATTTGGCTATCGGTTATGAGGCAAAGGGAGGAAAATCTTGAATATATAGAAGCGCCGGACCAACCACTCATTGTAAATGAAAGTAACACCATAATGAGATTCAAGAAGCTCCCGAAGAATTGATGGGTGTAAGTTTGCTTTTCTCTTCCTCTTTCATAGCCAGATTTTTAAACTTAACGAGAGTTTCTCATGCAGCTATACATCACTAATTAAGTGCCAATTGACTTATTTTGCAAGTGTTAGAAGACACTTGCAGTGATCCTGAGGCTGACGGTAATGTCCAACCGAAATCGAATGAGGACTCCGATCCTCCAGCAAAACCACACCCAAACAAGTAAGCTTTCAAATGCATCATCGCGACCTCCATGACCTCCATTTGGCTCTCTCTCTCTCTCTCTCTCTCTCTCTCTCTCTCTCTCTCTCTCTCTCTCTCTCTCTCTCTCTCTCTCTCTCTCTCTCTCTCTCTCTCTCTCTCTCTCTCTCCGCGTCCAATGTTGTGAAACATGGGAAGACTCACCCCGTGGTCGTTAATGAAGTTTGGAAATATATCTCTGCGAATCAATTTTCCATACAGTGAATCAATCTCTTGCAACTTAATTCTGTTGCAAAAAAAATCATAATTCAGTTTTATTTTAGTCATTGCATTTTTTTTCTAGCTTTATTACTGATAAAAATGGTGGATCTATCGTCAAAGGTCTTTCTTTAATGCATGGCAAAGGAAAAAAAAAGCAAAAAGTTAAAGAAATTACTTAATGTCAAAAACATTATCCACTTTTTTTTTGCCAATCAGGTTAATTTGAGATAAAGTTTATCACACTTATCTTATAATCATATACTTTTTAAAGATAAATTCAAAGAAAGAAAGAGGAAAATATGGCACATAATATTTTCTTTTATTTTTTCAATTTCTTGTATATAGTTACTATTTACGTGGTGATAAAAAAATTTTTGAATTTTCATAGAGATAGGAGTTATGATTGGAGCGATGCTATATGTAAAGAAGAAGCTAAAGATAACCAACGTGCAAGTTGAGGTCCTGACGGGGATCCTCAACATGTTCTTGCTCTTGAGTTGACGATTGCGAGGCGGATGTCCGATGGGATCGCGAGCCTGATGACGAGGGCCATTTTCTTCTTCGGACCCCTCCTCATGGGCTTCACCCGCGATTACACCTTCCTCCAATTGGACCACATCTTTGCTAACATCGGCATTGACTACACCCTCATGATTGCCCCCATCTACATGTCGAGGTCTCCCCTACCTTCTTCCGCGGCTTCTTGACCTCATTCATGAGGTCTTAACTCATTTTCTTTCTTTTTTTCCTTAATTTTGTAGCATCTTTTGTTTTTTTTTAATTTGTCATCAATTTGTGACTTAGTTATGTTGATGGAAAAATTAAAGTTAGAAAGGTAATTGCTTTTTATACATCAATGTCGCAACCCTTTTTTAGCAACACGGTCAAGGAAAAGATAGATTTAGAGATAATGCCAAGGGTGGCCAGTAGTCTTCAATCGGCGCAAATTCATCAAAACCTTTACCTCACGCAACGTTGAGATCTTTCACTTAGATTTGTTTAACCCTATCAGATTCCAATAAGATGACTCGCCACAAGTCTATTGGGGTTGGTCAGAGACCAAGTGAGATATGAGAGTATATCTCACTTTCCACACAACCAAAGATTTAGGGCCGAGGACTTTATTACACTAGTTAACTAAATTAATACCATTTCGATACTTATGATTATTTGTCAACGAAAGTGTCCATGCAGTCTTTTTCCAATTACGAGTCCTAAAGTTCTTGTCAGCTAACTGTCCGTTCAATGTTTTTATGTTCATTATGATCCTACAATAAAACCTAACCACTCAACTATGAAAATGAATCGCAACACAAAAAATGATAGAAAAGTAATCACAACAAACACATCAAAAACAGCAATAAAGAACTCGTAAAATATACAATGCAGTAAAATAACCTGATACGAGTCGGGCAAAGAATATAATATGGCCTTTTCATTAAGCCCCGGGACAACAACCCCCATGAACTTATTTCAATTTCTTTTCTAAAAGATTAACCTTCTTAGGTTAAACTAAATCAAAGGTGTCCACTAAAACCCTAAACCATATGCACACTAACTAAATGAAACTATGCTAATTTTTAGCTAATTCTAATACTAAAATCTAATAACCTAATCAAGGCCTATTTCTCTAACCAAATTTTCAATTTTTTTTTATATTCAGGAATTTTTATATTAATTTTTTTAAAAAAAAATTCTGGAAAATAGGGACTCAAGCCAGGCCCTTAAATGGACTTACTCGTTATATCTATTTCAATTAAAACCTCACAAACCCAACTTCGAATAAAAGCTCACTCAAGCCCATTCTTTTGTCAAATCATGCTTAAGCCCACATTAAAGCCATCTTCCATCACAACCACACCAAGGTCAAAACCCAACCCCAATTTCTAATATCTTTGCTGAACCCTTTTTTTTTTATTTCTTTTCTGCTCTTTTATTATTCATTTCATTTCATTTTTCAATCCTATAATATATTTCTAGAACATGAATTTTTCCTCATTTAACTTCCCGTCTGTCTCTTCTTTTTTATTCATGACTATACTGTCCGAACCATAACTCAACTCACACATCATTGATGCAAATTTTTACTTCCTGAACAACAAATCGCAAACACACTTCACCTGAGCAGTGAGCATGATGATATTCATGGGGCCTCATCATGCCCGCCACATATACACAACCGGAATACGTGGTCAACATATCGAATATGAATATGGAAAAAACACAACAATGATGGAAACACGGCAGAATCAACACTTGAGCAACAGCTTGATTGTTGGGTCATGTTCATGGTAATTTGAGAGCTATGAAATACGGTTTCCACATCAATCGTTAAATCGATAATCAACACGAATCGATTTATGCATGACTGAATGTAATATGGTTTTGACTGGTTAGGTTGTGAAGATATATGGCTCTCGATTTAATCATGAAAAAGGACATATACATTCATGAAGATGCGACAATCATACTGCAAGAAGCGAAACACTGAACGAATTTCACATGAGCCTCAATCACATTTATCGGACTTGATTAGCCATATGAGATTAAGAATATTCTTACCTGGTAGATGCAATGACCAGGAACACCAATTGAAGAGAGACCCCGAATTTATAAGACGACGTGGTCGCTGGTGGTTGAATGCTGCAGGAGTAGGATCGAGCAAAGTACAATTACTTCAACGCTTTACGGCTGCGAAACAGAGCCAAAACAGAGCATATTGCAACTGCCATCTTAGAAACTGAAGACGGCGATGATCCATGCCTCGGACAGCTTGAAGACGAAGCAAATTTTCCATCCAGAAGATTTTTGGCTCTCGCTTCTATGGCCGATGTGTACGTACGAACGTCTTTCTCGAAATCCGTAACTCCGGTGGCGAGCCGTGGAACACGATCGTCGGCATTGCTCGCGACTGTAAATGGTGGATTTCAATGTCCATCGGCGATTTCTCGAAGCCTCTCGCACTTGGTTCGAACGGAGAAAAATTTTGTGTTCGAGCGTTCCTCTCTCGTGCTCTCTCTCTCTCTCTCTCTCTCTCTCTCTCTCAGCCGTGAATGGGAACAAAAATAATTTTC